GTGTGTTCTATGTAGCAGCATGGCCCTATTTGTGATTGACAACTGGGCCGTCCAATAATAGCCTGGTACAGTACAGTAGTAGAAATAGAAAAAAAAAATAGTTTCAGAAACATAAAACCAAATAAGCAAAGCAATACAAAAGTAACAAAAAATATAAAAATATAGCAAATATAATAAAAATAATATAATCTTTTTTTTCTTAAAGGAAAACCATATATATATCCTATGAAGGCAAATGTCCATACTAAAAAGACAATATTACTTATAAAATGTCTAAAAGTTAGGAAAAAAACTGAAAAAAAATTGATGGCTAAATTTTGGACCCAAAGATAATTTTGGATGTAACAAAACTAGCTCAGCAGATAAAACTGTAAACTGTGTGTCTGGTTTGATTGGATATTGTCTAATGCATGGTCTATATTCACTGTTTAGTCTTATTATCCCTGGTTTGCACGTTAGTAATTGTCCTACATCTGCATTGCCTTGTGACCATAATGTTGTCGGTATCTCTGCTAAGAGGTTCTCTTCTGCTTTTGTCAGCAGAATTTGAAAATTTTCAGTGGAAAGTTCAGTGAAGGGCTGTAGTAGGTGTTATCTGATTGCCATTCCCAGTCAAGGCGGTATGCAACTGAGGTAGCTATTACGCCTAGTCGTTGCCATGACAATCCTTTTTGTTTTGCTAATAAAAATGGGTCACCGTACTTGCTGCATGTAATCTCTCTGCTTCTTCTGAAACCTTGACAGTAGCAACAGCTATGGAGTCTTTATCTGTTATTATGTCTTGTATTAGAATTTGTTGAGATTTAAACGCAAATTACATGCAGTTTATGGACTTGTTGGATTTGGTCTGGCATTTTTAACACATCTGTTATTTTGCCAAACAATGTTGTTGAGACACTCCCAAGTGGACAAGTGTTCAAATCTAATGACTAGAAATAGTTTGGCGTGCCTGTTCCTTGCACAACCATAACATTAGTGTTTATTTTGTTCTTTTCACAGTCATTCCACCTTCCTCCTAGTCGTAACTGTGACATTACATCTCTCCCTAATAAGTTTACTGGACAATTTGGTGCCAAAATAATTTGCACTCAACATTTATTTCCATTTTCTGTATTCTTTTGATTCTGTTATACCTTTTAATTCTTCACAGCACACAGTTCTACATGCTCCTGTCGGATTTTTTGTTTTTGGTTGGTCTAAGGTTTTTTAACTTGGATACAAAGGTTGGTGGGGGGTGGGGGGTAGGAATGTGTCATACAGTCTTCTATGTCTGCATCATCTGAAAGTGGAGTTGCTGTATCAACACACTCTCGATTCCTATGTCTGTTTGATGCTATTGTCTAATTGTCCTCAGGTCTGACATATATAGTTTTGTTTTTTCTTACTTGATTGTAGTTTTTTTATTCTGAACCATTGCTTCTTTTTTTAGTTGTTTTAATTCTATTCCATTCTTTCTCGCACAAGCTTGTTGAAGCCAACATTCAGTCACACTCAGCCCAAGATTCTCTTTCTTTTCTTTTTTTATAGCCTTTTGCCTCTCTTTTTATGGCAATCACAAGCTGTTTGCAGTCTTCCTGTTTTATTTTCCTTTAAAATCATACTTTTTCTGCCAATTATTTAAGTCTTTACATTTGAAAACAATTGAATTTGAATGAATCTGAATTGTACCTAGACATGTACTTAACATCCCCTTTAAACTCCGGAGTATTTGTCTTTTTGTTACATAAGTT